CCTGCAAAGCCCCTGCATTCTTGAACTCTTTTTACTTGCTTGGGATGAATGAATGAAGATTTCCAAATGATAAGTGAACACTGAAACATGGAGATATGGATTTAGAAAGTCATTCAGAGGGAGAAGACTAAAAAAGAGCACTTAGGAACACAGAATGAGGAAGGAGGCAGCAGCCTCAGAAAAGTTCGCAGGCCTGGTCAGCACAGGGTTGTGCAGTGTACAGGTGCCAGGTAAAACAACGACACTGCTTGACTTGACAACTATCATCAACCTTCGAGATATCTTCTTTTCTGTTTTCTTTTTTTAGACTTTCTCTTTTAGCGATTATAAGAATCTAGGTGAGTTGGCCAGTTAGCTCACTTGGGAGAGCATGGTGCTAATAACACCAAGGTCAAAGGTTTAGATACCCTTACCGGCCAGCTGCCAAAAAAATAAAAAAGAATCTAGGTGACCTGGGACTAAGATATTTGATTCTTCCCACAGGCCATATAACTGAAAAGTTGTAGACATGACATGTTAAATTATAGCAGGTTCACAGTACCATCTTTTATCTTGCTTTTCCTATTTAGTATTTGTTATGGATTCTCGTTTTTTTACTGCCATGTATTTCAGATTCTGTATAAATAAAGCAGGATGCTAGTAACTTTTGGAGATTAAGGTTTGCTTGCAAAAAGTATTTTTAGGGCCGGCCTGGTGGCGCACTGGATAGTGCGCCGCTTGGGAAGCGCGGTGGCGCTCCCGTCCGAGGGTTCGGATCCCACATACAGACCGGCTCCCGCTCACTGGCTGAGTGAGGCGCGGGAGCAACGCCGAGGCTTGCGATCCCGTTGCTGGTCCCCAGTCCGGTACGGGGGCAACACTGAGGGTTGCGATCCGTTGCTGGACACGGAAAAAAGACAAAAAAAAAAAAAAGTATTTTTAAATCATAACCCTTTTCAGTGTACAAAGCCCTTTTGCATCTATTTTCTCATTTAATCATCTTTCATACTAAAGAGGTATTAACCTCTTCAAGATGCTTCACTGACCTACAAATGAGAGATTTGGGGGTCCTAAGTAAACATGTGGAAAATGGAGTCCTTTATGTCTTATTACTTGTGAAACAGATTCCAGCACTCCTGCAACAAAAAGGATGGATACAGTGTGTTCTAAGAAAGAAAGAAAAAAAAAAAATGCAGCAAGCTGTGGCTGTCCCACTTACTCAGATTCTATTTCCTGGTGCATTTCCCTTTACCAGAAGGCCAGAATAATTAAACCCTCAAATTAGGTGGTTTTTCACAAATCAAAACTCTAAACCTCCAGGGGAGTTTAAAATAGTGGATGTAAATATCACAGTACATAAGAAAGACACCTAACCACCAACCCCCAGGATGTGAAATGGCTGCTTGTTGCACTTGGTCAAGCCTAAGATCAAGCCTAAAATCTTCATGCCATTCTTAGAAGGCCCTTCGCCAAGATAACTGGTGACTACCTTGTCTGTGCACCCACCCCCACCCCCCACTCACTTGCACCTGAACTACGAGCCCACTTTCAGCTCCCCGGATTCTCAAAAGCTGTGCTATACCTGGACTACCATTTGATATCAAGCCCATCAAGTCACCCTTTATGGGCTTTTGGAACTGGTGCATCTAGCTCTCCTGACTGCCCATACCACTCTTATTATAGATTCAATTTCCCCCCTCCAAAATGTACTTACCCTCAATTGTTACAGTGCAGACTCCTTGTTATAAAATTTATATTTGAATAACCTTTCCAGAGATTCTCTTACCGCTCTACACACAAATGAGTGACCTGGAAACCCAAAGCATCATATTGGAAATGGAGTCCTTTACTCTTTATTGCTTATGAAACAAATGAGCCTTCAGCACTCCTGCAATGAAGAAAGCAGGTGCAAGATCATGTAGATATGGTGATCACAAAAGTCCTCTCTGAAATGAGAATGTACCAGCATTCAAAGAACAAGGGAAGAGCAGTCAAGGTGAAAAAAACGAAGTGCGGTGGCGCTCCCGTCCGAGGGTTCGGATCCCACATACAGACCGGCTCCCGCTCACTGGCTGAGCGAGGCGCGGGAGCAACGCCGAGGCTTGCGATCCCGTTGCTGGTCCCCAGTCCGGTACGGGGGCAACACTGAGGGTTGCGATCCGTTGCTGGACACGGAAAAAAGACAAAAAAAAAAAAAAAGTATTTTTAAATCATAACCCTTTTCAGTGTACAAAGCCCTTTTGCATCTATTTTCTCATTTAATCATCTTTCATACTAAAGAGGTATTAACCTCTTCAAGATGCTTCACTGACCTACAAATGAGAGATTTGGGGGTCCTAAGTAAACATGTGGAAAATGGAGTCCTTTATGTCTTATTACTTGTGAAACAGATTCCAGCACTCCTGCAACAAAAAGGATGGATACAGTGTGTTCTAAGAAAGAAAGAAAAAAAAAAAATGCAGCAAGCTGTGGCTGTCCCACTTACTCAGATTCTATTTCCTGGTGCATTTCCCTTTACCAGAAGGCCAGAATAATTAAACCCTCAAATTAGGTGGTTTTTCACAAATCAAAACTCTAAACCTCCAGGGGAGTTTAAAATAGTGGATGTAAATATCACAGTACATAAGAAAGACACCTAACCACCTACCCCCAGGATGTGAAATGGCTGCTTGTTGCACTTGGTCAAGCCTAAGATCAAGCCTAAAATCTTCATGCCATTCTTAGAAGGCCCTTCGCCAAGATAACTGGTGACTACCTTGTCTGTGCACCCACCCCCACCCCCCACTCACTTGCACCTGAACTACGAGCCCACTTTCAGCTCCCCGGATTCTCAAAAGCTGTGCTATACCTGGACTACCATTTGATATCAAGCCCATCAAGTCACCCTTTATGGGCTTTTGGAACTGGTGCATCTAGCTCTCCTGACTGCCCATACCACTCTTATTATAGATTCAATTTCCCCCCTCCAAAATGTACTTACCCTCAATTGTTACAGTGCAGACTCCTTGTTATAAAATTTATATTTGAATAACCTTTCCAGAGATTCTCTTACCGCTCTACACACAAATGAGTGACCTGGAAACCCAAAGCATCATATTGGAAATGGAGTCCTTTACTCTTTATTGCTTATGAAACAAATGAGCCTTCAGCACTCCTGCAATGAAGAAAGCAGGTGCAAGATCATGTAGATATGGTGATCACAAAAGTCCTCTCTGAAATGAGAATGTACCAGCATTCAAAGAACAAGGGAAGAGCAGTCAAGGTGAAAAAAACAGCCTGTGCAAATGCCCAGGGGCAGGAAGGGGCTTGGAGCAAGTATAGAGAGCAAGGTGCAAGCCAGGTGAAATGTTAATGAGGTGAGCAGAAGCCAGATCTACAGGGCAAAAACATGTGACCTGCACACTGTGCAGTTTTTTGTTTTAGGAATGACACGATCTGATTTTTGTTTTTAAAACACTTCTCTAACTGCTCAGTGGATAGTACATGGAGGATACTACAACAGTCCAGGTGAATGATTACAGCAGCTTGCACTACAGAGGTGGTCATAAATAAAGAAGTGGGTATGTGAGAGGGGTGATTTTTTTAAATGGTACAAAACATGATAATTTTCAACATAACAGCCTTATGTAGTAGGTTTTCTCTTTCAGTCGTCCTTGTGATTTTATAAATGACTACAAATTATATGTAACTCTAGAAAAGAGGCTCCAAAGTGGGAGGATGGGGGTCAAATTGCCTGCTTTCTGTTTCGCCCACGAAGTTTTTTTTTAAATAATCTGACTTAATGTGATATCTAACAATCAAGATTTCTGATTCCTCTTGGAGGTAACTAGATCTGGCAAACACCGAGCTCACATTTCCACGGGGAGGTAACTGGCTAGAGCACAGGCTTTTTCGTTTACCACAGCTCCCTCACTCAGCACCCTTTACTCATTTATACCACCTTCTGGAAAGATAAGTGTTTTCTACTCCTCTGGTCTGGTACCATTTAAAGATGCCACATGCCAGTGCTCACATAAAAGAATCTCAACTTGGACCTTAAAAGAGAGAAAGGTTCATCTTGACTTGCCTTAACACAATTTTCATCAACAGTTGCCTTTTGGTTTCAGGTCGCCTACCATCACTTATGTCAGGCACCAAAAACCTTAATATACACACACACTGATACCACCAAACCAGAGGCAAAAAAGGAAAAACACGCGATGTCTCACCACTGCATAGTACTACTACTGCTCAGACTGGCTCATTTTGCACTGTCAGACTATAAGCTCCATGAGGGTAGGGACCCAGAGGAAAACAAATCCAAGAAGAACTCAGTATTTGGCCATCATTCTTTGAGAAAGGATTCTCAAATCGACAAATTTCCCTTGCAGTAGAAAAACGCATCTGTAATTCAGGAGATGTAGTAATATCAGTCATTTTTATAGCAAAGTTGGTCTCCAGGGTGCTGGTGTGTGTGTGAGCACTATTATTTCACACCCGGATTGTTCTGTGCCTCTGAAACCTTTTACGTCTCTGCCATCTCATTTTCCCTCATCTTCACCCCCACCTCACTTCTACCTCCAGCCAAGATAAATAAATTACACCGACGAAAACACCATTAACTTAAATCCACCTTAAGCTTGAAGTATAATACAAAAAGGCTTCGCAAAGTTTGGGAGCCAGAAAATTCACCCATAAACTCACCACTGGAACCCAACAATTTGTAATTTTCAGGGCAAAACGTCCTCTTCAGAGCCCTTTCCAGCCCGTGCCATCTCCTCGGAACCCCCCCCCCAATTCCCGCTGTGGGACCTGCCCCCTGTGCCTCGTTTGCAGGACGGGGATACCACCTCAGTGGTTTTTTCTCACGTGGGGTTGCATGGGAAAATGCACAGTGCTTGGCATACACTCGGCATCCAACCAATGGCAGCTATTGCCGGCATCTGCACCCTGCTGGGCGAGGTGGGACAGGTCGCTCTGGGCCGTCTGGCACTCGGGGAGGGTCGGAGAGCTCAGGGGCTAGGCAGGCGCGGTTCACCCACCTGCAAGCGCACGTTCAGCATCATGGAAGCCACGATGTAGAGGTAGGGGAAGTTGATGCGCAGCCTCCAGGCTAGGTCGAAGAAGATGAGCAGCGTGCGGGTCAGCCCGGTCATCTTTTAAAAAAAAAAATAAAAAAAGAACACACTCATTCTTTTTTTTTTTTTTTCCAAAGATGACCGGTAAGGGGATTTTAACCCTTGACTTGGTGTTGTCAGCACCACTCTCTTCCAAGTGAGCAAACCGGCCATTCCTATATAGGGATCTGAACCCGGGGCCTTAGGTATTATCAGCACCATACTCTCCCAAGTGAGCCACGGGCTGGCCCCTATTCATTATTTGATCAAACTATTACATTTAGCAATCAACAGCATGGATGCAAAAAAAAAAAAAACGGCATTAAAACCCTTTGTTGGAATGCTTTACACCTTCCACAGAACAGAAACTTAAATAACCTGTTATACAATTAATCACAAATACAGTCCGTGAGTTTTTGGCCCATACACATGAGTATTGTGTAAAACATGTTTTCTTTGTAGCAGCTGGGCCCTGTTACCAATGTGCTTGGCTGAGTTCACAAATCTGTTGTAACCTGTAACTTCCCTGTCATTTCTCTGGCTCTTCTCTTCTGCCAAGCTTTCCTGTTTCCTGGCAGTTAATTAGGACCTCCTGCCACTGCCATAGCCACCTTGGTTTCATGATTTGGCAAAGTATTGGCCTCTCCCACCACAGGGGCCAGAGCTTCTGCCTCCAAAGTTTCCTCCCTTCATAGGTCCAAAATTTGAAGACTGATTGGTTTTTTTGTTTGTTTGTTTTTTATTTTCTAAAAAGATGACCGGTAAGGGGTCTTAACCCTTGGCTTGGTGTTGTCAGCACCACGCTCACTTAAGTGAGCTAACCAGCCATCCCTATATAGGGATCCGAACCCATGGCCTTGGTGCTATTGGCACCACACTCTCCCAAGTGAGCCATGGGCCGGCCCTTGAAGATTGATTGTTTTAATTGCCAAAATTATTGGAGATTACCCCAACTCCAAAATTGCTTCCGTCATTACCAAATCTATTATAGCCATCCCCACTGTCACCATATCCACCACCACCACCATGGCTGCCACCAAAGCCACCACAACCACTGAAATTTCCTCTACAACCAAATTTGTCATTCCCACCAAAACCTCCTCCATGACCACCACCAAAGTTTCTACAACCACTTCGACCTCTTTGGCTGGATGAAGTCATTTTTTGCTTCAACAGGGCTTTCCTTACTTTACAGTTGTGGCCTTTCACGGTACAGTATTTCTGAATGACAGTCTTATCCACAGAGTCATGGTCATCGAAAGTTACAAAAGCAAAGTCCCTCTTCTTGCCACTGCCTCAGTCAGTCATGATTTCAATCACTTCGATTTCCCCATACTGTGCAAAATAATCTCTTAGGTGATGTTCTTCAGTGTCTTCTTTAATAACAGCAACAAAGGTCTTTTTCACAGTTAAGTGGGCACCTGATCTTGGAGAATCCTCTCTTGAGACAGCCATCTTTGGTTCCACAACTCTTCCATCCACCTTGTGTGGCCTTGCATTCATGGCTGCATCCCCCTCCTCCACAGTAGCATAGGTGACAAACCCAAAGTCCCCGGAGCGCTTGGTGTGGGTCTCCTAGTACCACATAGTCCGTGAGCACTCCCCAACGCTTAAATGGCTCCTGAGACTCTCATGGACTGTTTCAAAGCTCAGCCCTCTGATGAAGACCTTCCGCAGCTGTTTGGGCTCTTTAGGAGACCTGTCTTAGACAGAGAGTAGTGGAAAGAGAGACTTTAACACTGCTTCCTTGGTGGCATCCCTTGCTCCTTTTTTTGTAGGATATCTTTTCCTTTCAGTGCACATTGGATGCTATCTTTGAGGACTGCAACTTTGAAGGGGCTGATGAATTATCATTGTGTTCTAAGCTATCCCCTCCAAAAAAAGGAAAGAAAGAAAGTATCTCTATGCAGTATTTAGAAAAATAATTTAAAAATTTTAAAAGCTAAAGTGTTCAATGAGAAATTTGCCCAAATCAGTCTGGCAATGTGTAAACAGGTTTGAAGATCAGCTGAATTTATTCTCATGCCTGTAAAGATTTTCACTGGTGGAAAATCAGTAGTCCTGTTTATTTGAACTATGTTGAAAGATCAGATGAACTGTGGCAATATGAGAGATATATGAGGGGTCTTCAAAAAGTTCATGGAAAGGTTTGTATTATCTTTTAGTTCTATTTTTTCTGCCAATTTTTCGAAGTACCCTTTTTATGCATGCACACACAAATACACATATACTCGTATATCCTCCCTGGTTACTCATTTCTGCCTCTAAATGCCATTGAGGCAATGAGGCATCTTAAGTCACTTAATTGCCATAAACAGTGGCAAACAAAATTACCACAAAGCTAAACCCAGCAGGGTAAGAAGTCTGTTATAATGAGACATAATGAAAGGTCAAAGGAACGCAAAGCAAAGCTAAGGAGATTTGAGGTTTAATATGTATCAGGTTACCTAGTTCCAGGCTACACCACAGGCTGGTAAATTAGTCTAGGCTCTTGTTCAACTCAGCCCCAATTCACTGAGCATCTTTGAGAAGACAATTTGCTAATTATAATTTAAGAAACAAACACAGACAGAATTCATTATAAGTCAGGGTGAAAAATGTTTTCAAAGAGGGACAAACGGTTATGAGAAGAGAGGAGAGAAGAGGCTGAGGCAAACAGGAAAATAGTTTTATTAACAATCGATCAGCAGGACCCATGTGTTCTGCCTACAGTCTTCTCTCCTGCTGTCAGAGCTGTGTTTCAGGTGGGGGAAACAGTAAAGACGTTTTTCTGTTCACCATAATCTGGTGAGAGAAGCACAGAGAAGCCAAGTTCCAGATTTAGCAATTTCTTGGTGCCCCTGGAACAGTAAAATGACAATAAGAACACCCATTCTACAGGGTATTTGTGAGAAATAAATGAGATCTGGTATGCACAGCATCAGGCACAGACCCGGAGAGGTAGTGGGCACCCAGAAAGTTACAGCTATTTTCATGCTCAGAGCCCAGAGTCCTTAGACAAGATGCAAGTTTTAGTGAATCCATTAATACTCACTATGATGAATAATGTTTAACTATGGGTCACAAGCAACCTGAAGAGGGACACAGCTTGATTTTGCTGCTGGAAGACAGGATAGACACAAATGACCCAAAATGTTGGCCAGAAATCATTTATATTCCTTTGCTCACTCCTGTGGAGACCTGGGAGGGTGAGGTGGGTTTAAACATGTGAGTTTAATTGTCATTTGGAGAAAATGCAAGTTTTCAGTCTCCCACTGAAGGGCTCTTTCTGGGCGCACTGACACATTACAGATCATGGTCAGTGTGAATTGCTGACACAGTACTAGTATGGAAGTGGTACATAATGTTAAGTGAAAACAGTAAGGGGAGACAAGTGTGTATAGAATGCCACTCTATCTAAGAAATGGAAGAGGATACAAATACGTACATACACACACACATACATAGATTACATTTGTTATACATATATTTAAATACACACATACACACATATTTATGTTTTTGTTTGTTTATCCTTAGAGTGAAAGCATAAATCATAAATTTACTTTAAAGTGGCTACCTGCAGGCAGAGGGAAGGAACAGGGTAAAAGATACAGAGATAAAAGTTGTACTTCTTTGAATATACCTTGTTTTGTAGAATTTGTCTTTGGGGGCCGGCCTAGTGGCGCACTGGATAAGTGCGCCGCTTGGGAAGCGCGGTGGCGCTCCCGCCCGAGGGTTCGGATCCCACATACAGACCGGTTCCCGCTCACTGGCTGAGCGAGGCGCGGGAGCAACACCGAGGGTTGCAATCCCGTTTGCCGGTCCCTGGTCCGGTACGGGGGCAACACTGAGGGTTGCGATCCGTTGCCGGACACAGAAAAAGACAAAAAAAAAAAAAAGAATTTGTCTTTGGAACCATGTAAATATTTTACATAATTATAAAGCAAAATTAATTTTCATTTTTTGATGACTGGCAGGTATAAGGATCTGAACCTTCAACTAAAAATCCCTAAAAGTCAAAAGTGAAATAAAACAGATGAAACCTCTGTATCTGGTTAGTGGCGTAAACACGCACAGAAAGGAACTATTCCAAGAAACATTAAAACCGTAGTTTGTGCAGAAAAAAAAAACTGCAGTAAACTCCTAAATTGTTTTTAGTAATCATATTTTTGGTGGTGGCGTCGGTATTGTTATTCTGAAACTGTAGTGTGCTTGTATTGAAATGAGTAATTATGTTGGCGTTGTTGAGAACAAGGATTTTTGGAATGGGAGGAGGGACTTACTGATATAAGTTCAATGAGGTTAAATAAAAATGCTATAATCCTAAATTAGAATTGGAGTTATGAACTCATATGTATTTACCTTAAAAATATGTGAGAGAGGGGCCGGCCCGGTGGCGCACTGCTACAGTGCGCCGCTTGGGAGTGTGGTGGTGCTCCCGCCGAGGGTTCGGATCCCACATACAGACTGGTTCCCACTCACTGGCTGAGCGAGGTGTGGGAGCAACACCGAGGGTTGCGATCCCGTTGCCGGTCCCGGTCCAGTACGGGCGTGACACTGAGGGTTGTGATCCGTTGCCGGACACCAAAAAAGACAAAAAGGGAA